GGAAAAATGTTTTAAGAAATACTGGTCTAGATCATTAATTTTGACCCTATTGATTCTATTGACCAAATAGTCATTGAATAATATGTAATCTCCATTGAATGTCAAAATACTGCATGTAAAAGCTGAAGCAGGCAAGGTGGGAATCAGTACTCAAGCCAGACCCAACACTGAATAAACATTGAGTACTGTAGGTGCCACATAATCTTGAAGCTGAGAAAAGAATGGTTCAAAATCTATTAATTTGGAATGACTAAATAAAAGGCTTAGGATTTAAATCTATGATTAATAAGGTTTAAAGGGCTTGATGTATGTGCTTGGGCAGATGCAAATCATTAGATGCATAATTTGATTTTTATTTCCATTAAGGCAATTTATTTAGCTATGACTAAGTTGTGAAACTTCTGTTATAGTTAAATAGGCACTTGAATTTCTGAGGAACAGATTTAATACACCTCTTTCTGAAGTCTGACACTGTTTGCCATGAGAATCAACTTCTTATGCAAGAAAATTTCTGAAATTTATGATAGAATTTGTGCTGCTAGATATCACACACTGACATATTTACTGTCTCTTAAGACTCATATGTTTAGAGTTTCATTTGTGACACTTTGGTGACAATTTATGCCTTTCACTGCTAAGTGGTGAACATTCTTTTTCACTTAGTAGGAACACTTTATAGAACAAGTAACAATTTCCACCACAAGATTCTCTCATATTTTTCTGCAGTCTTTCTACAAGCCTTATCCAAACCATATGAACCCTTCACTACTTATGACTTGCACCTGTTGTTTCTTGGTGCCTATTGAATTACAGAGAGTTCTCAACTTACAACCACAATTGAGCCCAAAATTTCTGTTGCTAAGTGAGACATTTGTTAAGTCATAAATATGAGTCAGTTGCCAAGCATCTGAATTTTGATCATGCGACCATGAGGATGTTGCAGTACCTATAGTCTATGAGTCAGACAACTGCCTGACTTTACTTAGGGATAACACTGTTAGCCCAGGCATCTTATTGTCTAAAGTTATTCAACCATGATTAGTTCTGTCAGTATTTTTTTCCTAAACATCTTACCCATTTGACATTTTATTAATTTCATGGTTGCTGGGCTGATTATTGGGTTTTCATCGCCAAGGCTGAAATCTTTAGGCAGAATCTGTTTCATTCTTTTGCAAAGACTTTCGGTCTTTTTTACACATACTCTCCTAAGACTCCAAGTAGAGGAGTATTCCTGGTGGATCACATACCTAATATTCTTTGAGAGAACTTACCATTTTCCCTTAAGTGTGCAGTTTAAAAAAGAGAATGCTTGCTTTATGTAGGCCTTCGAATGATCATGTATGCATTATTGATTATCTGTTTCTGTTCTGTTCTCACATTATCTATTCTCATTTCCCCAGTAAATTTTCATTGCTGCTTCTTAGTTCTTTCTAATATAGCTGTGCCAACCTAGCAGTTTCAAAGCATGCAAATGCAAGTAGATAAATAGCTACCACCTCAGTGGGAAAGTAACTGTGTTCCATGTGCCTTGGCATATAGTCATGCCAGCCACATGATCACAGAAGCGTCCTTGGACAATGCTGGCTCCCTTAGCTAGGAAACGGAGATGAGTCAGACACAACTGGGCAGGGGAAACCATTACCTTTATCTTTTTACCATGTGAATCGTAGCACTGTAGAATGTCTTCCATTGAAAATGCCTTCAAAAATAATTAAGTGATAATTATTAAATAATAATTAATAATTTGTTTAATTAAAAATTAAATAATAATTCTGGACAAGCATCTGCATTCCATTGTTTCAGTTATTCCTCCACCGCATGGACATAGTCTCTGCTGGAAGAGGACCTTTTGGTATCTCCCTTCAGTAATGGCTGTTAAGAGTACATTGAATCTGGCCAAGGATAAAGCCCTTCTGTATTTTGGAACTGCTATGTTACTAAGATATCCGGCTGATTGTGCAGAGTGGCCCAGAAAGATGTTTCTAGATTGAACTGGTGAATCTGCTTGAAGCTCTAAATCGTCCACTGCTTGAGATCAGCTGCTGCAGTGCATAGCCCATCAGGGTGATGTCAAGTCATGAAAAGCCATAAAGTTGCAGTTTGTCATATATTGGCTGATGCCAGGAAGACTGAAAACTGTCAGTCACAATTAAGCTGAAAAAAAGGAGAGCTTAAGCGAATTGGAGAAAATAAAAATCCAGGCAGAAATTTCTAATTTAGGTTGGCCAGGTTCACTGTTCTAAATGCAGCAAAGTATTGGAAAAATTGATCTCAAAAACTTGGATTGAACTAAGAGGAAGGAATCACCTGTAGGAGCCCAACTGAACTCCACAAAGAGCTAGGCTCAGATCTTAGCTGAAAAGACTTCAGATGCTGCAGGTATATGCTGGGTTCCTTTCGAGAAGTAGGATTGTAAAAACAGCACTGTTTTTTTCCTATGTTTGAGATAACATAATTGACATGAGATGTATGGTTGCCCATAGCATGGAAAAAAATCCCCAGATAGTTAAAGTGTTAACCTGCTTTGTTGAAATGCTATTTAGGTACCATATGTGTCTTAGGACACTTAGCAAAAACTATGACCTGAGTTTTGGAGTAATTAATTTCTAATTCTTCTTGATAGTGTTCAGCAAATATATAACACACATTTCAAGCCAATCTGTGTCTGAGAAAGTAGCATGGCATCACTGCATACAAAGCAACAAAAATATGTCTATTTCCCAATTTTGGGCCATGAAGAAATGGACTACAGGTAGTCCTCGATTTATGACCACAACTGAGCCCAAAATTTCTGTTGCTAAGCGAGATATTTGTTAAGTGAGTTTTGCCTCATTTTACAACCTTTCTTGCCACATTTGTTAAGTGAATAACTGCAGTTGTTAAGTTAGTAACACGGTTGTTAAGTGAATCTGGCTTCCCCATTGACTTTGCTTGTCAGAAGGTCACAAAAGATGATCACATGACCCCCCTGGGACACTTGCAATCATCATAATTATGAATCAGTTGCCAAGTGTCTGAATTTTTATCACATGGCCATAGGGATGCTGCAACGATCTTAAGTGTGAAAAATGGTCATAAGTCACTTTTTTTGGTGCCATTGTAACTTCAAATGGTCATTAAATGAACTGTTGTATGTTGAGGACTATCTTTATTTAATTTGGCTATAAAGTAGTTAATATATAGATTAAAAAGGGGAGCTAGAACACACCTTGTCTCACTCCCCTCTTGACAGGAATTTCCTTTGTGTAGTAGCCTTGCACAATACTTCATCCTCTAGGCAAAATGGGCAGCATATAAATTTAATAATAAATAAATCCAAGAGTTTTCGTATACCTTGTATATAAGAACAAATAATCTTTTATCAGTTGAGGAAGAGTTCAGTTTTTGAACTAGTTAGGAACTAGAGATGAGAACCAAAGCAGATCTAAAATTAATTAATGCTGTGTAAAGTGATGAAAGAGGAATTAATTGGCTGATTGCTAATGTTTCATTTTTGTATGTAATTAATTAACCAGTAGTTTTGTTTTTCATGCACCTATAATTAGATACAGTATTCTGAGCAGCATACAAGTTCCCAATATGTGTAATTGTGATTAAAACAATAGCTACAAATCAAAGGACACAGCATACATTGTCATCCTATAAAAATGGGAGTCATGATCAAAAACAAAAAAACAAACCCAATCTACGATCCAGAGGGATAATAATAACAACCCCTTCCCCTGGCTTAGTGAAACATCTACTTTAGCTTTTCATCAGTTCCATAAATTCCCAGGTCATGAACCATAAAAAGTTTTAAAAATGATAACCAGCATCTTAACTGCCAGCTGACAGTCAGTGCAGTTCTTGAAGAAGAGCTGTTACAAGGCTGCTTCAGCTCATTCATAGTTAAGCCACTGCATTTTGGGCGAACTGTAGCCTCTGAATGCTCTTCAGAGGCAGCCCCAAACAGAGTACCTTGCAATATCATTTGAGAGGCAACTAAGGCGTGAATGACAATTAGTACTGATTCCAGCTCCAGAAGGTCAAAATTAGTACATATAAGACTGAGCTGAGCAAGAGCCCTCTTGGCCACAGGTGCAATCGATTTCTCAAGCAGGAGCTGTGACTCTAAGGTTGTAAGCCCCCGGATTGTGACTCTCCTACCCCTGGGGGAGTGCAGCTCAAACTTAAGAATGGAATCCATCTGGAATTGGTAGGCCTTTGAATCCAGAGTCACTCCATTTTACAAAAATTTAATCTCAGCCTGTCCCTTTCCATTGATATGTGGTTAGGCACCAGGCTCCTGGGTTGCAGTTTGACTGACCAATTTTGTGGCCAGAGGTCAAGATGTGAAAATTAACATTTTGATGAAATCTACCCCCATATTACTAGGTGATATCATCCAGCAATTTCACATAGGTATTAAACAGGAGCATGGAGAATATTGAGCCCTGAGTCTCTTTACAGTTGAAGGGTCTGGGAAGTTATGTGTCACTTGGAGCCCAGACTTCCTTGAGAAAGTGTGTACCACTGCCTCTTTCAAAAACAGAAATAATTCACGCTTATTCAAATTGGCAAACAACACTACCCCAACCCAGCTTCCCATTGCCTCCCTTGAGGCTATATTTCCAGGAAGGCCAAATGCTTCAGACTACGGTTGATGAGTTAAAGACCCAATGGGACAAAATTCACGTAACAAAACTGTCTTGCTTAGCAATGGAAATTTTGGGTTCATTTGTGATCATAGATTGAGGACTACCAGTATTCTATGTGATATTTTTCAGCGACATTGATTACTCACTAGTTTCATCCTTATTAGCAATCATCAGACACAGATAGCCTACTAATAAAATTATTTTCTTATTATTTATTTTTATAATACAGCAGAGTTTATTATATTGTGCTGTATAATCTTAGGAAAATAAATACATTCATGTGGTGTCCATTGTTGTTTAAATATTCAACCAGATTGCTCTAGCCTACATGGGATCTTAATATTCTGTTTTTTTCCATTTTAGAATCTGAAAAGATTCCTGTGATGCGTGGACAATGGTTTATTGATGGCACTTGGCAACCACTAGAAGAAGAAGAAAGTAATCTAATAGAACAGGAACATCTCCGCTGTTTCAAGGGGCAACAGATGCAGAACTTTGACACAAATGTGTCAAAACCTATAGATAGAAAAGAGGGTAAGATTTGCTACAGAAAATTTCCTGATCTCTCCTTGTTATGATGGTCATTGCTTTTGCAGGACATCTGATACTTAATTAGATAATTACACTTATATTTCCACATTAATGGACAGAACATCTCCCAGAATATCAGAAGTCTTCCTCAGCCTACACAGAATTGCCAGGGGTCATGTCCCACATGACTCTACCACTAAACTAGTACAAACTATTATTATTCAGAACAGCCCAAATGGTTTGTCAAGATTCAGTCGAATCACTTAAAATTTTATTCCAATGAAAAGGAGAATAAACCAATAAATGGATCCTTTAAAGATTATTACTACATTTTTCAGATTTTAAAAGCAAGCAACTAAGCAGATTTATAGAAATGCCACGTCTTAATATACATTTATTGCATTATATTGTTGATTTAAAAATGTTGAATATATATTTTGAGAAAATATATTCATGGAAGAACAGCCTGTAGTAATAATCTTTAAAGGATCCATTTATTGATTCTAGTTACGGTATAGAAAAAAATGATTTATTAAAGCTGCATCCATCTGTGTTAAGCAGACGTTTGCATTTATTTGGTTTATTTTCCTTTTCATTGGAATAAAATTTTAAGTGATTCGACTGAATCTTGACAAACCATTTGGTCTGTTCTGAATAATAATAGTTTGTACTAGTTTAGTGGTAGAGTAATGTTAATTAAATACTTATTTGGCTTGTCAACTATTCAGTAAAGGTAAAATTCTGTTTTACTGATTAAATTTCATGATAATATCATGACTTAACAAAGGCAGAACTCTGCCTTTAATTTCAGTGTGTTTGGAGCAGTGGTCTTCAACCTTAGTAAATTTAAGATGCATGGACTTCACCTTCCATAATTCCCCCTCGAATTCCCCAGCCAACTAAAATTTTGGGAGTTGAAATCCTTGCATCTTAAATTTGGGGAGGTTAAGAAACACTGATCTGAAGTGAGTCAGAACAAATTGATTCTACTAATTGCCCTACACATAAAAGCTCAGTGCATGTTAAAAGAAAACTTGCTTAATTGTTATATTGTAATTATTTTCAATCTTTTTAAGAGATCATTGTTTAGCTGATCTGTTTTTGTAGTTTACACAAATCTGGTTCATGATTAAATTATTTTATTATTCTTATTAAGGCAGAATTTGAAAAATTAAAGAACAATTTGACCATATCTCTCTTCACTAGTCACATTCTTAATCTTAAAGGACTGTATGATAAACCTGTTTGATAAACATCATAAGATAGCTGCATTTGAATCATGAAGTTTCTTCAGCAAAGTCAGTAGTTATGGGTAAGCTTATCCATAGAGCTGTCCCAGTCTGAAAAACCTGATACTTCTGTGCAGTTTTTTAGACTTTAGCCTTTCTTCCAGCACCAAACTGAAATTCAAAAATATATCACACTACTAAACATATTAATAGAAGAAATACAGGTAGTCTTCACTGACTGCCTTGTTCAGCAACTGTTCAAAGCTACAACAACGCTCAAAAAGTACGTTTACAATTGGCCCTTGCATTTGTGGCCATTGCAGCATCCCTGCAGTCATATCCAATTGATACACATTTACAGCAGTCAATGGCATCCCGCAGTCACATGATCATCATTTACAATCTTCACAGCTGACTTTCAACAAGTAAAGTCAATGGGGAAGCCAGCAGGAAGTCACAAGTCATAGTCGCGCTTAACAAGCTGCAATAATTTGCTTAATGACCACAGTGGAAATGACATAAGTCCAGCGTGATCGTATGATGTTTCACTTCATGATCACATTGCTTAGTTGTGGAGTTGCCAGTGCCAACTGCGATTGGTAATTTCTATATTTTCATTTTCTACCAATCTATTTGCTGAACACATAGAATTCCTTTTTCCTTTCTGTCTTTCAGGTGAATTGGTAAAGGACAAGGCTGTATTAAGTAATAAGTAAAGCATGCTTTGCTTCTAAAGCCTAGTTTAGAAGAGCATAACTTTTATCTAACTTAAAAACAAAATCCTGCTTCCATGACTTCTGGATTTATACTCATTGCATGTAGCATTTCTCTGGGTTGTAGTGTTGTAGGTTGGACCTCATTAATTTGTCACAGGACTTCTGCACTAAGCATTACTAAGTATAGATTCAAAGCAGATTAGCTTAAAAGAGTAAACAAATAGTATACATTCCTTCTGTAAACTTTTGAGTTTAATTTGTAAAACTATTTTTATGAAGAATCTACCGTATTTCTGAGTTTCATAATTAATACTACAATAATTTTAAGGCTTAACAAAAATCAACATTTTCTTTGGAATTCTATTTAATACTGTTAAATAGAATGCAACATTTATTATAATTTTTAAAATGTAAAGTTATATAAATTTATCTATGTGAAATATGATAGATAGCTAGATTTTTTTGGTTTATAGATTATATGTTACTGTCAGTGTTAAGATAACTGCAGAGTAGTTATTGTTTTTGAACTACTATTTCTGAATCATCTCAGTTAAATTTCCCTCACAGAAATTTAATTTAATTAATTTAATTAATTAATAGAGTCCAATGCACAAAAATGAACCCAAGATACCTGAATTGCAACATGGTTTCTACATGTGGAAATTTACACAGAAATGTAAATTTATTAACATTTGCCATTTGACTGCACAATCAATGGTTTGTCATCCAGATCCAAAACATTACAGTTAAAGTAGTGTTTCAAATTTAGCCATACTGGGTCTCTTAAAATAATAACTAAATTTGTGGGACATGACCCCGCCTTCAACGAATAAAATAGATGAATTCATTGGGTTTAGGGCAAGAAATAAATATACAATTAGTAAAAATTAATGTTCCTTTGGTTGTATTTTCTTGATTTAAGTTTACTTTTAGCAGATGCACAAGCAGTTTGGTCATCTTAGGTTTTATCTTAGTGCACAAAAGAAAATTGGTAACATGGTAAGAAGTTCAGGGAGAGAGGAAAATATTGGGAAGAGATTCAGATTGGCTCCTCCCTAACTTCTTGGGGTATATGCTGAGGGAAAAGAAAACCCTGGCAGACTTAAAAGATTGATTGTAACCCCTACAAAGGTAAATCTGATTAGGAAATTGACTCGATAGAAAGACAAGAACTATACTTTATAGAGATAGGCTATAGTAACAGAATCTTGCAAGTCTGCCTGTGTTTTCCCTTCCCTCCCTCTTAAACCCCAGGGAACAAGTCTAAGTCTCTTTTCAATAGTTTCCCATCTCCCTGAGCTTAATGGCTGCCCCATCTGATAAATGTCTTAACCATTTCCGAGTGGTTTCTCCAACTCATCTTCATGACTTCCTACAATGCCACACTGGAAGTCAGAATTTGGTGGGCTGCTGTAATTGTTGGATTCTTTTTGATCCACATAGAGTAGTCCGCAACCTACGACCACAATTGAGGCCAAAACTTTGGTTGCTAAGCAAGACATTTGTTACGTGAGTTTTGCTCCATGTTATGACCTTTCTAGCTACAGTTGTTAAGTGAATCTCTGCAGTTGTTAAGTTAGTAATACTGTTCTTAAGTGAGTCTGGCTTCCCCATTGATTTTGCTCATCAGAAGGTCACAAAAGGTGATCACACAACCCTGGGACATTGCAGCTGTCATAAATAGGAGCCAGTTGCCAAGCATCTGAATTTTGATCACATAATCACGGGGACGCTACAACAGTCATAAGTGTGAAAAATGATCATAAGTTACTTTTTTCCGTGCTGTTGTAACTTTGAGCTGTAACTAAGAGAACTGTTGTAAGTCAAGGATATCTATATTTAGATATTTCTAAAAGCTTCCTTCAGGCTTTGCTTTTCACTGTTCTTGCATAAACCTATCAAAAGCTGTTTTAAATTACTGCTTTGCTTGCACTAACCTGAGCAGCTGTCAAAAAATGTTGTGACCTCCATCTAAATTGATCATAACCCACAATTTAAGAACTCCTGCCTTAAAGCAAAATAAAATAATGAACAAAATACATATTGCTAATCAACCACTAAGAGAAATGAAGAAAGAAGAGACCAAATTCTACTCCCACTTCTGAAATGTTAATTTTAGCAGTTTTGAAACTGCAACTTGCATAACCCCAATGGTTGACCTGGGAGAAGGAGAACCTTTTAGTACAGTTTGTCTCTGTCCAGCTGGAGGTATGAATAAAAAAATGTTCCGTGTTATAATGTCTCCGGTTGAAGGACTTCACTTTAATGGGACAGGAATAGGAAACTTTTATGTTAGTTTTAAAAATTATCACATTCTTTCATTCTTTCATTATTAGCCTTTGAGACAGTCTTGACTTCAATAACTGCTTTGACTAGTCCTTGCAGTTTCCTTGCAAGATTTTCAGAAGTGGTTTACTATTGCCTTTTTTATAATAATAATATAATCATATACTTTTATTGTATTGATTATGTGCCATCAAGTCAATGTTGACCCTTAATAGCCACATAGATTTTCTCCAGGAGGCTCTGTCCCTATTCTGATTCTTTACAGTAGATCTTCCAATGGTGCACCCTTCCCAACTGCAATTGGGGGCCCATCCATCTTGCTGCTTATTTTTCTTTCCTGTTATGTTTCTTTGCATCTTTCCCAGCTTTACAGAATTCTCCAGAGAGCTACATCTTCACAAAACATGTCCAAAGTACAGCGGGATAATTTGAGCCTCGTCATTTGTGCTTTGAATGAGAACTGTGGATTCATTTGTTCTATGATCCAGTGATTGTTAATGTGACCTTTCTCAGTAAAGTATAATAACAAAGAATCAGTTTCCTGATTGGGTCTAACTCATACAAGTCACAAAGCCTGAGGCTACCTCACATATTTTAATATTTTCTTTAAATGAATCTAAGGACACAAATAAACAAATGCACATAAAGCTTCCATAACTATATGGTGACTATTTATTTATATATTTATGTGGACACCCATCTTTCACAGCGACTTGGCAGGCTTACAAGCAGTAAAAACACAGTATAAAAAATAAAAAACAGTAACACCCAC